TGTGCATGATGTGTCTTGGGGCCAATGTAGTGGATGTTCTTTCCCCCACTCTGTTTCTTGTGTTCTGTGATGGTAGGATGGGCTCTCCATAGAGAAATGTATACTCCACAACACCTGGAGGACCAACACCTGTGTGTGTGTTTTCAGTCACTGTCACTGGTCTCGCTGCTGGGGTCTCCCTGCACCTTGCTGCGGTGTTGCATGGCGCGGTGGTAGGCCACCTGCACGGACTTGCGGATGTTGGATTTTCGGCCTTCCAGCATTTTCTCCTTGTCCAGTTCCTGGTCCACCCCAAGCGGCACCAGCTTAGAGCGCGGTAGCCACTGCCTGAATAAACACAAATATATATCCAATTAATACATTTTAATAAAATCAAAATAAGAACAGTACCTCTGTAGGTAATAAAATGTAATGTGCAGGATGGAGGACATTTTACATTCATATTCTATTTAATATTGAATAATCCATTCTTGCACAATAATATCCTGCATTATATTTGTTACTGGAAATGTCTATTTCCACATGTATATATATTTTACACTTTTTATCTTTTAACTTTTTAATGCTATATTATTTGTATCTAAATCAGGGGTGTCAAACTCAATTTCATCTCGGGCCACATTAGCATCATGGTTGCACGCAAAGGGCCAGTTTTATATACAAGACTATGAAAAATGCATATATAAATATTTAATATATATAAAATAATGTATTATATTACATTATTGCCTCTGCATTGGATTATTATCGGATAGGGTAATAACTTCATAAGTCTCTTCAGTAAGAATGTCAAAAAATGATTAAAAAAGAAAAGCCAAATTCTGGAAAAAAAGTCAAAAAAAAAAAGAGGTAACATTTAAAAAAAAAAGTCAGATTCTGAGAAAAAATGAATATCTTGAAGAAGAAAAGTCAAATTCTGAGAAAAAAAAAGTCAAATTTGAGATGCATTGTGCTACATGTAGTTTATGGGCAACGTGCCTCTGTAAATTAGCATGTAACCTTATAATAAACATATTATATTCTTTGCAAGCTCTTGTGGGGCCACATAAAATGAAGTCAGGGGCTGGATTTGGCCCCCGGGCCTTGAGTTTGACACCCCTGATCTAAAATGGAATAATCCTGGGTCAGCAGTTCAACTTGTAAGAGGATCATCAAGAGGGACACTTCCTGTTTTCATTATGTTTCTCATACTTTTGCTTTTCTTCGAACTTAAAAAGGAACATATGTGATGGCGCGGCAAACCATGACCTAAAATACGAACTGTATTTCCCCTCCCGCTTTAAAAAAACACGGCTGACCTATTTCTGCGTGTGTTCCGACGCTTGAAAAAATAGTGCAGTTTCCTTTTAACTACTGCCACAGAGTGATGTTTGTGCACACCTCCAGTAACTAGGAGGCCTGTTATGCTTGTGTTTTCTGTTTTACTGTACTCATCATTTAAGGGGGAGAAAATAAAGATGCAATGTCAGTGAAAACGAACGAAGAAGAAACAACCTTGATTGATAATGATGACAATACAACTTATTAAAACAAAAAGAGAAGATGAGCAGAGCACTGACCATGTTCTCTTGTTGTCAAAGAAGAGCACCAGGAACAGGTGCTCCCGGGCCTCCTGGGTCATCTGCTCCCCTAGTTTCAGTACATCCAAAGGTGGGACAGGGATTGGGACGCCCCGGTGGAAAACCCCCTCCCTGGGCATCTTAGGGTCAATTATCTGAGGAAGAGAAGAGGACCGTTAGACACCCAGTCGTTAAGCTGCAGCGTGCCCTTACTTAGTCTGTGCTTTCTGCAGTGTCCACTTGTTTCTCACCAGAGCCGGATATGAAGGATAGCCTCTGCACTTGGCCCACACCAGGTCCAGAGCTTCAAGAGAAGAATAATCATCAGAAGTCATCCAGCATCCTGACCGGGCCCGACCCCGCACCACTGAGGTGTAAGTAAACAGGAACAGGAAGACAATCTCTGTTGTGCATCCTCTAGCTAAACCAAGGTTCTCTACATAATCTATCTGCTCTGAGATTACATTATAAACTAAATCCCTTTCCTTTTAAAGGTGTGAGCCAAATGTTGTAACTATAATCTGTTTCTGTAATGGGGCAACTAGGCTGGGTGAGATCCTACAAGACTTGAGTGCTGGGTCGGGGCTAAACAAATGGTCTTAGTGCCATTTGAGAAAAATACAACATTTGTCCCCAGGAAAAAACATGATTAGTCACAGAGCAACCTTAAACAAATGTCAGTTAGATCGTTTTGATAAGTACTTACTGATACAGTGTCATGACAACATCATATACGTTTCCACTGGTGATTAAGAGTCAAATCAGATCAAATAAAAAATGACTGCTATCATATCAGATTGGTTACACACACAAAACCAATTGCTGTTTGGCTGTACTGAATCACCATCTGCATTCATATTCAAATAGTTCTGAGAAGACACTTACCGTCTACTTAAAAACAACCGTAATAACGACAGTGTGCTTACAATGTGAAACGGGCCGCGATCCTCCGACGGAGTAGGAATCGTTTTCAGTGCCCGACGTCTCCTCACTGCTGTCCTCCTGGAAGGCCGAGCGGGAGAACGACGTCTTCCCTCTGCCCTGCTTAGAGGGGGTCGTACTGAGAGAGGAGAGACAGGAATACACTTTCATTCAATCTGTAAAAGATGCTATCAACTAGGGCTGAACGATATACCGTGTCATGGCGATAACCGCGATATTCACATCGCAGGGACGTGCGATTTAAAAAAAAAGAAATTTTTTAGGGCGTTCGATATTAAGTAGGTAAATTAACTCAAACACGTCATGTTACAATTATTTTGCTGCTTGCTACAAAAGGAAAACTTGCGTGGCTCTCATGTCAGGGGTACTTGAGTGGAGTGACATGCAGGCTCTGAGTCTGCATGCACAGCAAACAACTATTTCAGATGCCTTTGCCGGAGTTACACCAAATGAGAAAGGTTCAAAACGGCATAAAGGAGCTGGTGTATAGCTGTTCTTCATTTTATTTTTATAATGTTGTTTCAAAGATGTCAACTACTTTGCTGCTATTTGCACAAAAAAGGTTTTAATTGTGGAATAAAAAGTNCTAAGCAGAAGTAAACTAAACAGAAATCCAAGACAGGGTTTTCAAAAGTGAAGAGTAAGGAATTTGTTTGTAAATGGACTTACCAAAACATTACGAGGTCCCCAAAGAGTAAGGTTCTGTTCCACATCACACCAACATCAGTAAAAAACCTGCAATCAAGAAAGAGAGAAAATAAAGATGAGCAGAAATTACGAAGAGTAGATCAGATGAGAAGATGGGAAAAAAGGTAATTAATTGCCAAATGATTACTAACTTGTGTTAGCATGACTCACAAAACACACAGTCAATAGCTTTATTGTTGTAGTAATTAGCTACCTGTTTAAGTATAATATAATACACCTAGGCTATAAATTCAGCTAGCATGACATGCGCAGACGGAAATCATATGTTAAATCATAAACATATTTTTAAATAACAGGTAATTTTGCAAGAAGGTGTAGTCCATCAACATGCGTTCAGGTTCAACCCTGTTACCCAACCTTTTTAGATTGGCACAGGAAGTGAAAAAACTGTCAAGTAAGATGACACAGTGGAAAAGTGACATCTGCAAGCCATGTGCTAAGTGCCATGGGTGACCAAAACTAAGTCCTTCTTTATTTTTCATAATTTTTAACAATCTTTTCCAGTCTTAAAAGAGTGTGGACTCTGCCCACATCAACCCTGTTACCTGATATTATCAGAATAAAGCATATTAATTTCAAAGTTATTTTTGCTTGCATGAGATATCCAAAGTTTGTCCTTGCATTGAAAGCATAGAAGTACGCATTTACATGCTACATCTAGCAAATAATTCCTGAGGTTTAAAGCTCAAATCTAGCACACTTGATTTTCACCCTGTTACTTTCAACCCTGTTACTATACTTAGAGTAACAGGGGTAATTCTTCAATCTGCGAAAATATACATTTGATGCCTAGCTGGGCCAAATCACTTTTTTTTATGGTTTATTTAATCTTGTTTTGTCTAATACATTAAAAAACACTTATAAATAAAGGTTATTTTTCTGAAATGTTGGTGTCCCTAAATTTCCGTCCAAATTCTGGAATGACCCATATGTGGAAATTAAATTGTACATTGTTTTCTCAAAATTACCGATGAATGAAATGAACTTGTTTTAAACAGTGACAATTAAAAAAGATAAGAAGGATGCAATTAACACTTTCAAATTATTAAAAAAGGCTATAATAAAACATGTAACATCTAAAAGGGGTCAGAATCGCTTTTTTATCTGAAAATGTGTCCAAATCACAACGAACCACGCAACTTGTGTAATTGTTCTAATAAACCAGACAAACTTTAAGTCCACTTGTATCATCTGGCAGCCAGCTGGCAGCCGGACAACGAGCCATAAAGCCAAATGGGTGATTCTCTGAATCGGCCGGGTGGTCCTTTGAGTCCCTCCAAAGCTTACTTGCGAAATGTTAATGGAAAACGCGAAAATACAAAATGTAAAAGCAATGAATTAATGAACAGGTTTGTTTTGCATCACAATGTAAAACGTGTGGTGGGATGGCCCTATATATATATTTTAGTATGCTAGTGGCATTGTCAACGGGGGGGGGGGGGCTCGCTGCGGGGAAACGGTGGACCTCTGTCGCGCAACTTCAGTGATGCCGTTTAAAAACATTAAACAAATTAAGGGCGGTGCCGGCCGTCAGCGAACCGAGCCGGTCGTCAAGGGACGTTCTATGATTCTACAGATTCTATAGATGGTTATGATAAAAAATGCAAAATGTTTGGTTTAATTTTTTTTCAATGTTAAAACCCAAAAGGTACCCGATTCAGAGAATCACCCCAATACATGGAAAATGACAAGCGGGAAAACATCACATGTGTAGAACACAAGCCGTGGATAGACGGAGGGTGTGACTCCGCCTTTTGATCAGAGACCATCCTCCTCCCTTTTGTCTTGTCTTCAGTTTGTTAACTTCTCCAAAAGCCGCATGGACTTCGGGCGCGCCGCTCACCCATTTTTTGCAAACCGTTCCTCTCATTGCGTGGGATTTTAATGCATCCGGGCTGACCCGGTCCACTCTCAAACAGAACCCCCCGCCCCCTTCCTCACAAGTTGTGTTTCATAGAGTCTTCGTGGAAATCATTGATTGTCAACACAGCAGCGAGGTAAGAAAAACAATTTTACTGCTCAATCTTAACATGTCCAAATTTACGAGTGACTATAAATCAAACAAATATTGGTTTTACAAACAATAACAACAATAATGTTTCTTCTAAGAAAGCATGACTGTGAAAATAGTGCATGCACACATCGCACTGCAAGTGTGTGAAACTGTTTTTTTTGTCCCCACACTGTGGTTTTAGTTTTACCGTGGTTTATGACGCTTTCGTTGCCTGTATGGAAATCACTCGCACTCTGTCTTATGTTATTTTCATATCATTTGCGTCCTGTTCATTTTAGCAGGCGTGCTGGCAGAACAACGAGCGTTGTGTTCTCCAGTATAACCCCTGATACATATGTGCCTCATTATCTACAGAAAGAAGCTGTGAAGACATGTTTAAGTTCCGTTTTTATGCGTGTACAATACATGAGTCATTTTATTGGTTACTTTTGAGGAAATAAACTTTGAGATGTCACGTGAGATGCTGATATCTTAATACTTGTCTGGACCTGACATAGGCCTACTCGAGAATGAATCATAGAATACATTATTTATCACTAACTTTTTTGACAGACTAATAAAGTGTATTTTATTTCCCGACTCACTCATCCCACGTGGTTGGAGGCTAGTTTGTCAGTTTGGACGGTTTGCTTTCGGAAATCGCACTCTCCATCACCCCTGACCACAGATCTGGGAGATCTCACACGCACACAGTTCAGAGTGCTGTTTTCAGTCAGTTAAAAACAACCATGCGCAGCTTCCTCCATGCACATGACTTAAACCACATTTCACCACATTATCTGCAGATGTGGCATAGATCTGTACTTTCTGAAAGATGTCAACAGGATGACCAGATAACATCTCAAATAATTAGGTCTTATTGATAGTGGTCATTACGCCTACATGTATTTCATTATTATTTTTTCTATATTCTACAGTTTGCTGGTTGTATGTGTATGCTGCATCTGATCCAGCTGTTTCAACATATATTGGCAGATGTGAATTTGGCATCATGTCAAAAGGCAGCAGGGATGTTTTGCAATATGAACTAGTTTAAGGGAGTAATCTGGAAATGATTGCCTACTTGTGAATATACAAATAACAAATGTTAGTAATAAGTATAAAAACCTTAAACTGTCGATTCATGTTGATGCCAGTGTGGCACGAGGAAGTCACCTTTCCTCTCTCTCCTACCAAAACAGACACTTGTTTTTCAATTGAAGATAGATATTCCACGTGATTATGTTTATGTAAATATAAAATATGCATTGGTTGCTGGCTCAGTTGTGAGGATATGCCGCCTGCTAATAATACATTGAATATCTTGACTAACTGTCAAACATAAGAAAACAGAAGATCAAATGGTAGGCTTTGCTGTTTTTTGTCATACATGATATATATTTGTACAACTATTTTCTGACATAAAGCAGCAGACAACTTAACCAGCAGTTTAACTGAAAATAAAAATAACGTCTATGCAGCCCTGGAAGAAGTGTGTGAAATAGGAACTGTGGTATGACTCACGGTTTGTGGTGAATAAATGCAGAATTGAAACATACAGTCCGCTGTAGTGTGGGTTCTCAGGATAACAAGATGATATCAAGAGATACATTCTGGTTTGTGAATAGCAAGACTGAAGCTCTCTGATGTGGCGCTGATGACACATCTGAAATTAGCCATATATTGTATCGTTAGGATTCTTTTTGGCAGTTTTCTGTTATTTGACAGTATAGAAAAACCAGAGCGAAATCCGGGACGTTGTGGTAATGTGGCATGCGCCAAAACCACTCTGCTCCAAAGGTGATATACAGAGTATGGCTCAAATACAGTATCACAGTAATTCAGAGCTGTTGTAATTTTCATATTTGAAGACATGGCCTTGAAGTGAACACTGCCTTCAACAACACAAGGATATTGTATCAACACCATAACCGGTATTGATAAGAGTTCCATCATGTTAGCTGGTTTGTTTATTGTAATGTGGCAACTATCATGTTGGCTACTTGTAGGAAAACTGATTCACTTATTTTTCTTGCATTTAGTAACGATTCATACTTGCACATTTCTACTTCTTGCGTTTCTTTGCTTCCCTAATTTTTTTAAATTATATTCACAGGTTTGGAGCCATATCATTGTTTCGACACAAGATGCCGTTATTCGACGGGACCATAGCCTCCACGGGACTGTCGAAACCTCCAAATATGTCTGGTTTCCTGAGTAAGCCAGTGCTGCAGTACAACGGCGCTTACTTCACTTATGACCACAGAGGAAAGGACGGAGCAGGATTTACTCCTCCTTGGAGCACCTCAAAGCCCTCTCTGCTGGATGGCAGAAGTCCTGTGAGTCACCTTTCTGGCATGGAAGGACAAAACCACATAATGTACAGGCAAGAAAGCAAATCTTTAGAGGAAGGCCATTCTCCTTCATCCTCTTTGCATCACATCCCAGTAAAACCGGGCTTTGCGTTATACACTAAAGGTCCTGGGATCAGGAGTCCCGCAGCTGCTGCGCCAGTGGCTGTTAGAAAACAAAAAGCTGGAGCGGAGAATTCATCTCCCCCATCTGAAAACTCTCTTTACCTAGCAATTCCTAAGCCACATTATATGCATAACCCCTGCTGTGATGAACTGGGTTGTGTGATAGGACATCAATACAGTGTGGAACATGGCTCTCAGAGGATACCCAGCACTGTATATGAGCATGATTGGATGCAAAATGATGCCCACTGCACTGAAAGACCACCCGTCCAGAGGACAGGACCAGACACACTGCTGCAACAGAGAGGTTTACAGTTTGAGCCCAGAACGGAACCACTAAAGAGGGGGACGTACAGCCCAGGTAGAGCAGGGACTTTTCCTGCTATGATCGACCCAAACTATAGCAGTTACCCCTGCACCCCAACTCGCCCACTGTATGGTTCTCTAAGTGAGCAGAGCCAGCGTTTACAAACCTCCCCCAGAGGCTACCCTAGCCTATACTCCTCCCATCCCACATATGAGCATATGACATCAGAGGTTTATCAGGAACATTCTCCCATGTCCAAATATGGCCAGCTAACACAGCACCCGATGTTTTACTACTCCCAAGCAAATGTGGAGGTAGAAAACAGGTCACAGTGTAAGCAGAGGGAAGATGTGCCTGTTATTCTCAAGCACACAATCTCAAACCCCCGGGAGCATTACATATTTCCTCAGTCTTTTCATGGTGAAATTCCTTTGTCTTGCAGTGAAATGTTGCAAAATCATGTCCTAATGCGGAGTTTTGACTCTCCATGTTATGCAGTTCCAAGATTTCATTTGAATGCAAGCCAAATCAGATCCCCCCCAAAAAGGCAACATGCAATGCCGAGCTTGCACTCTAATCACATTGTTTCCCAATCAGGCCAAAACATGGCGCACCACATGGCCTCTGCAACAGACCAACATAAGGACAAATCTAGCCCGCAGTTTGACCAATCACATCCCAACTCGCCATTCCGGCGTGTAAACATAAGCAGTCCTGCCAGGCGTGTAAGCCCACCGAGTGTCTCACCGTCCAACATACACATGAACAGGTTTCATTCCCCACTCACCAGCATGCAGATGGACCAACCCGTCTTTTCACCAACTGGCTTGAACATGGAAAGAATCCTAGACTATTCTTCCAATGAAGCCCATGTTAGGTGCCCAGAACAGCCCAAAAGTCTTCCTGTTTCCCCACAAACATTGCTGCCCCGGTCACCGCATCACTTTTCAAATCGAATCCAAGCAGCTGTAGCAAATCAGGGAAGTATCCGTAAGATAATTGATTCCCCCCTTGCACCAGGAAACCAACACAATGGCCCTGTGTCCAGTCCAGGCTCTGCTATTCTCAAAAGGTGCCTGAAGAGAAGTATTTCTCACTCATTTTCGCCCATCAAAATAAAAGAAGAAGATAAAGATTTATGTGAAGTGGGATTTGTTACAAAACGACAGAGGGTAGAAATAGAGAATGCAGAAGAAAGAATACAAACTAGCTCCCCTCCTATGCCAGTTATTAACAACGTCTTTAGTCTGGCACCTTACCAAGCATACCTGAAGGCCTCTGGATTTTTATTTTCAGGCAGAGTACCTCAGAGAGCCGTCCATTCGTCCGAGCATCGTGACGTTCAAACCAAGCCAGACATCAAAGTGAAAAGGCCTGATCAAGATGAACCTCAGTCTGTTCTCTGTCTGGTTCCCAAACAAATCTGTGCACGTTCTCCAACAGAGAAGCCTGTTGTAAAAATGTTTGAACCTAAAACTATTAAAGTAGAAAAAGTAGACCCAACAGACACAGAGTACATTAGTCAGATGGACTGCAGCAAAATAAAAATAAAGAGGGAGCCTGAAGACACTGGTTCCTACAACAGTGAGTCAATGTTGGTGATAAAGAAATGTGAACCTGATGAACTTGAAAGTAAACCTTCATTAGCAGATGAACATAAGGCTTCACACGAGACTCCAGATCATTCCAAATCTGAGGTGGCTGCAGAGATACACTCATATCCTCGGGTTGACACATGCATGATACCTAAACCCATTACTTCACCTCACCCACCTGAGATGAAAATACATTTCAAAAACATTCCTCCAGAGTGTCTGAAACTTTCCACCTTCAGTATAATTCTCAGTGATGCGAAGCCTTCTCGCCCCGCACCCCCCCCAGAGACGCCTCCTGCATCGCCGATAACTGAATGTCCAGCAAAACTAGAGCCCCAGGCGCCAGTCCGAAAGCACTTCTTAGAGTTGCACCTGTCCATCTGCAAGCTAATATCTAACTGTGTGTTGGCCTCCTCAGAGCAGGAGCTCCGGGCCTGGCTGTCTCAGTTCGAACTGACTATACCAGCATCTCCTACAACCAAAGTCCCGAAAGTGTCCTGTTTGTTGGGGGTAAAAGCCAGGGTGGGGTGGCTCAATGAGGAGATACAGTCAGCGCTCCATGATGTCCTGCAGAGGTTGAGAGAGTACACCTTTCAGAAAAGCTGTCCTTTTCCACACGTCATGCGGACGGGGGCCGTGTTCCTCCCCATGCTGGTGGTGAAGGAGCTGCTGTTTCCCACAGTGCAGGGCTGCTTCATCGACCAGGTGCTGCAGGAGCACCGAGTGGAGCTGCGGCCCACTACGCTCTCGGAGGAAAAGATCCTCATCCAGCTTCACAAACGAGCCTGCTCCTCCAGGCTGAGGAGACTCATGTCCCTCAAACACCTGCCGGATGTCTACTCTGATGCCGTCAACCTTCTGTATCACGCTTGTGTCTGCAAACATCTGGGTGAGTGCATGATCGCTACTATGAGGGAGTTATTTGTATATATTTTTAATAAAAAGGTACAAAACGGGTATTGAAGTGATGTAATGTCCCTTACGGGTGTCCATTCAGTCCTTTTCCCATTTTCTTTCCACAATAAATGTTGCTCTGGGGGGATAATATGTCTCATTTTGGTATCATCATTTCAGAAAAATTTGAGAGTTAGCAACAGTTGTGTTATTGACCCTCATGGACACAACTACTTTTTTTTTTTACCAAAACTGCAGTTCAAATGTCCAAAAAGGAGACAAGAAATGAATCTACAATAGACATGTATTGTTTCGGCATGCTTAAACACAATAGCATTTTAAACCTCACACAGGGGATTTTTCCAGTAACTTCTTCAGTGCTAAGATTTGAATAATATTTGACAGTCAAGTACAATTAATTGGTCCTGCAGCCGTAAAAAATGGAACCTTTCACCCCCCCCATGAATAGAAAGTAGAGAAGAGCTTGATAAAGTAAGGTTTCAGTGTCATTTCTTATTACTTTTATTTACGATGGATCATAAGATAGACTGATATCATTCATATGGAAATGTTTGAGATAGAAGTACAATAACATTTGGTTTTCATGTACAACTACCTAGTAAGATTATACCTCTGGCTCGACCATTTGATATGTACAAGACTGCCAGACCAGCTGTACAGAAATTCCCATCGGGTCGATAGTGTGACTTACTGATTCCTCTGGATTTGTTTTATGAGGCATCATATCATGACTGTTAATTGTATCATGGTCTTCCCTCAAACAGTTTTTTAGCAATCATATCATTTCTGCATACGTGGCCATTTTTATAGGGAACAAATCACAAAAAACATAAAATATTCAATATAAAATCCATTTATTTTTTACAGAATCAACTTCAGCTGACGTCCAAAAGAGAGTCCAGGTATATTTATTTTTTATGTTGTCCCTCAATCTCACTCCTCTTTGCTTTTTCTAGATAGAAAGCAGGACACCCTTCTGCTAACTGTCAATCCCTAATCACTAATCACAGAAGGTTGCATGATTGCGTTTAACCTGTAGTGGTGGGTGCTGAGCGGGGCTATCTCTGGAAAAATGAAACTCATCTTCATGATTTTGTAAAATAGTATTGGTGGACCTAAATGGTTGTGGCGCAAGCTGTTGGATCACATTACCGGAGGAAGGAAGTGAAAGTCTGCAACACACACACAGGGGGATTTACTTTGGTACACTTTGAGCAGAGAGAAAATGCTGATCATATTTTAACTGACCACTTCCCTGGTCAATTAAAACATGCATCTGGGCCTGCTAAGTCCCAGTGGGAAGAGGTTTTGGTGGGATTGTAATGATAAAACTGTCAATATTCTATATGTTACTGTCAACAAATCCCATTAAAACAACAACACCAACCAAAAGGGTTTTAATATCTCTAGATACTTTCGGACTTTCCTGCCTGTGGCTCTCAGCCCCAAGAACATGTGTTGCAACATAATATTTAAAAGAAATGCTTACATTTCCATGTTTCCTAGTGTTTTGTTTTTTTGTACCATTTTGCATATTTAGAGCACTGTGTAGTGATTTTCGCTCCAGTAGGGTGCATGTTGTTGTTCCAAGTAACATACAGTGCACCCATCTTTATCATAATGTCATATATTTATATTTATGTATATATATATATTTGTATATATAATATCTTGTCAAATCCAACATGTATATTTTCTATTTTTTTTGTTTATTTCTAGTTTTGTTTTATTGTAAAATGCCTTGTCTTTTATGCTGCTGCAACACTAAACATTATCCAAATTGGGATCAATAAAGTACCATCTTATCTTATCTTATTACGAATGAGCATGGTCCCTATTGCAATGGTCTTTTAAACAATTTTCAGGCACCAAAAGAGGTCAATAATTTACCAATAATTAACTTCAGGCTTTGGCTGCAAAGACCAGTTCATTATTGATTTTAGTCTTTTCATGGAATTTGTTGGCAACACATATCACCAAACGTGTCCTTCACATATCACCAAACGTGTCCTTCAAAAAATATATTCGTTTCTTAATCAAGTTTCCGTTCAAGATGACTAACAGTTCACATGGGTCAGGAGCACGTTGACTTTGGTATATGAGCATTTCCTTGTCTTACTATTGCCTCACTGCTGGTTTATCCCTGACTGATAGCGCGCCTGGTAGCAGCTGACTCTTTCCCCAGCCTTCGTGTTTACTCCCACAGCCTTCTTTTCTGTCTCTGCTGAAAGGCTGTTTCATGGTGGAAGATCATGCTGTCTAATCAGCAGGTCTGCTGATATTAATAGAATAGTTTCTCATTGTTCTGGTGTGCTGAAACCGGAGCAATGATTTAATTCAACCTGTGTTGGACTTTGTGGTCGCTAGCTTGCTTTTGAGAAATCATCTGCTGGGAAACAAAGAGAATTGTATTGTCTACATGTATCTAATGATTCCCCAATCAATTCATTAATTATATTAACACCTACCTTCCCATTTGATCACTACCTCATTTTTATATATTTCTTTCACATCTTTGTATTCATTTTGACTTGTTCTAATGTCTATATTCCCTGTGTTGCAGGCTTAGCTTTGGATGATTCTGCTGACAGAGAAAAAGTTTGTGAGGAGACTCCCGTTTGTTCAGAAATCACAGTCTCAGCCCCAGAGTCACCCCCACATATACACACCAAGGACCACGAATCAATGTCAGATTGGAACAATAATAATAGAAAAAGCAGGGTAAAGAGGAGTTCGAGGCGATTGTTTCTGGACAGCAGTTCCTCAGAGGAAGATACAGATGAGACAGAGAAGGCCTTAAGTGGAGGCTTGCTGGATGCATTTAGTGAGAACAACTGGAGTGGGTTTCAGTTGGAAGGGACTGAGAACAGAGGGAGTGACTGTATGGTTGCAGATGAGGATTCTTCACTAAGCACCCCTCCTGAGAATTCATGGATGTGTCCTTTGACCTTGAACAAATGTTCTCCATCTCCAAGGGACACTGAAACAGAGGACTACTGCAGTCTGCCTCCTGTCAGAGACAAGTCTCCAGTGAGACCCAAGAAATGTTCAGGCGTGATTCTCAAACTGAGGAGGATGTTCGGCAAAGGTTTGAACAGAAAAAAGGCTTGCTACCAAGCAGTGTCAGACTCAGGGACAAGTGCGGATCCTTCCCCCTTGCAGACAGGTGATGGGGAACTGAGCAGAGAGAGGGACATTTACAGGAGGACGTCCAAAGGGACCCACAGGCGGCAGAGGACGGGAAGCTTCTGTCACGCATTAAGACCTCTAAGCACTACTTCTCATAGAAAACACAGATCCCTCTTAAAGATCAAATACTGTCCCTACTTGACTGCGTGCCACAGCGCTGAGCACAGGAGGGTCCTGCGCTCAGCCGTCCAGAGGGCTCGGAGGGCCATGAGATTCTACTACCCCGACCTGGTGGGGAAGAGGATCCGCCATCTGTACGAGGAAGACGACAAATCTGAGGTGTGGTACAGAGGGGAGGTGAAGCGTGTCCACGAGGCCCACACAGACCCTATAAAGACTATATTTGAGGTCACGTATGACAGCGAGCCGGGGTGGAAGTACTACCTGGAGCTACTGATGGACTATAAAAAAGGCTGGCTCAAAGTCGAAGACTAGTTTTCCCACACAAATGTCTTAATGCACATTTTGCCTTTTGTCAAGTGTAATAATAAAATGTCTAAATTGTTCCCTCTTCGCTGCTTTTTTCACTTGCCGACAAAGGCAGCCTTCATTAACGCTCTGGCCTCCCCAGGAATGAAGTTGGACTGTATTTGGTAATGTGGTCAGCTTAACATTCTTATCATTTGAGAGCTACAGGATGCATTTTGAGCGACTTTAGTCAATGTGCAACATCCTGTAGATGTTGTTTTAAACGCTTATCTTCTGACACATGCACCTACTTTAAGCACATATTGAATTTGGTTGTGTGAAAGAAATGATACAATCTTGCCTTTTTTTAAGATAACTGCAAAAAAAGACCTTAAGTGGCAATGTTTTTAAACTTTAATTGTAAGAAACTATGATGTTTGGTATTTATTGTTGTGTTCCAATTTTTATATTGATTGAAGTTAGTGACTTGTACATTGTTTGTCTATTTGGATTTTGCCAGTAAGAAAACAGAAAAACAAACATGACATCAAGACATCTTTGAAGGTCTTCACTTATTCAGTGCCAGCCACATTTCTGTAGGTTTACATTAAAATGCCAGTTTTTTTACATTATTATAACAAAGGTTGTTTATTCACCCTGATGACTGTAGTACTTTGTGTTGTATCGTGTGTAATTTAAGCTGGACAGGCATTAGTGTGGGACTCTACTAAAGCTGCCTAAGAGGTCTTTGACACCCACACTGCTGTTTTAATCTGTGAACATGAAGAGACTTTCCCCTCAAATCATATTCAGTTTTGTTGGACTACTGCAGACAAAATGTTTGTTTTTCTCACGGTTTTAAATAAATGTGTGTAATGATTCAATGTCTCCTGATGTTGAAAGTGTACTTTTCTGCCAAATATACTTGGTGTTTTTTACTATGGGACTAATTGACCTTTTTTTACTCACCTGAGTTGAATGAGATGTCTTGAATATCAAAGATATATTTAACATATCACTCCATCTGTCACACTGGGGATTATCAGCTATACCTTCTCATCATGTAGGACAAAATAAACGTAAGACCTTGTGTGACCAACTGTTGTTCGAGTAACCTCACAGCTAATGCAACTTAGTCATTGTCACAGGTGTGATACTTTAAATGGTCAAACAGACTAGTATAACAATGAGCAGATCGTTTTGAAAACATTACCTTTGGAAAATAACCTAAAATGTAAACCTTGATGTTGGAATAACTGTATTTGTCTCCATCCTGTGGCAGAATGCTAAACTCTTTTTAGATAGCTTTTTGAGGTTGACAGATGGGTTAAGCTTATTTATCTAACAACCAAAGTGGCATAATGGCAGTATTCAGAAAGAAACAGGTTGAAATAAATCATTTTTTTATTATGACGAAAAGTCTTTTGAATGAAACAAACCTTGTCCATTATCAAACAATGATCCGTGCCAGAGCGATATTTGCAACATTTTGCACTTTAATATTTTCTCCAAAACAGAACACTATTTTTTCCCACATTTTTACACTAATAGGAAATAAAACAACTTTGATAGCATAAAGAAAAGATATGTAGAAAAAAGTATTAAAAAGTTTTTGGATGTCTCAATTCAATGTAAGTAGCTGCTTGTTTTACTTCAAAGGGTAAGTCAAAATGTTCTACTAGCACACACAATGAACAGTGAGCCCTGGGGAGTGTTTATGATCACAGCTGATCGGCTGTGTTACTGCAGGACAGCCAAGCCCATCTTTTAAAACCACCCATTCAACTGGTGACATACAAATCAACCACCTGATCTTTATCATACAATCTGCAAATAAAAGTGGTGCAAAGAAGTACCATTTTTTTTGCAGAAAGTCAAAATGATTCAAGGAGTTACCAAATGAAGTCTACGCAATTCTGGAAGACACAGCTCTGCCAAGGCCGGTCGTTCACTACATCGCAAAAATACATAGCGTAGACATGAATCATGGATGTTTGGGTAATTAATGATTGCGACCAAACCTACTCTAATGACTCACACAGTACTCCCAAAAATGAGATTTCTCATGACATTTATTCAAATAAACAATACAGTTTATAATTTGCTAGGATGAAATAATAAGTTTGAACACATTAGAAGCATTTTGGGTGAGATTTCCCCAAAGATCTGAGACTGGGTTAAAGGATGTGTTTTAATGAAAGCTGACATCTTCTGACTTGCATCAGTGCCTGTTTTTCCATGTCCCCTCCAGTCACTCGTGTTAGGACTGCCATATTGCAGAGACATGAACGAGCATTTACAAGCAGAGAGCTTGACACCAGAACAACCACCACATAGAACAATGCAAAACCTGGAGGGGCACTGACATTTCAATGTTGAATCCTCAACCCATGTGCGAAAAATTCAGTCTTTAATGCAAAAGCATAACGGCGTTAAAAAAAAACAGTCCTACAACCTTTAGAAGTCTCCCCTATATTCTTTATCTGCCTAAGGATCACAGAAGCCCACCTGTGTAGCTAGGTTTAAAGCTTTGTTCGTTCTCACCGCAGGGCAAGAGATCTCTTAAAGGAGGCCCGGCCACTATCTGCCTCATGCCCAAGTAGTCCCTGCAAGAGTGATGCAAATGCCTGACCCTGTTTGACAGCGATCCAGCCCAATTAGCAGCTCAAAGCTGTGCAGTCGGTACATTCTATTACCCTCATTCAATCCCCAAGGTGCAACTGAGCTTCAAGAGGGCTACCTCAAGCCATGTCGGGAAAGAGAGAGAAAAAAGAAAAGAGTGAATGTCACTCAGTTTGGCTCTTGCAAATAATTAGTAATATTCTTAAATGTTATCACCTCTAAAAACAACTAAGGGGGCAAACGGTTAGAATAGGAGGACACAGGGGCGTTGCATTCTACCTCACCTCTGAACTGTAAAATCCTTTCTGCTCTGGGTTTCTAACTTAGCAGTGCGCTTTAACGGAGTCCCTTTAGCTGATTACTTGGTGACTAATAGAAATTCTTTCTACCAATCCCCATTTGGAATTACTAATAAGGTGGAACCTGTGTACTGCTCTGAAGAGACTGAGGATGACAGGACGATGATAAGACATCCGACTCCCACTCAGAAGAGGGATCTCACAGACTCAACGTACTTGGAAAAAGTACACCTTTCTCGATATTGGTGAAGAATAAATATTTCAAAATTTCTAAAATTATGCAAACACGTGCCACTCTTGCTCTTCCATGCATATGGACTATTTACAAATTGGAAAATACAGACTTACTAATTTGTTCTTTAGATGTTTTTCTCTTCTTTCCCACCTGAAATGTCTTTGCCCATCAACATTCAGCCACTCAGACAAGGATCTCAACACATACTGCACACATGGCCAGGACAATTAAAGCTGTGTTGAAAACATTTTCACACTAATGGGAAAACAAAAAGTCAAAATCAAAAACACAAAAAGAGTCACAAGCAAATAAAACAAAGGAAAATAAGATAGTTCAGGGGAGGTGTTACAATACAAGCCCAACGGATGTATTTGTTTAAGATGGATTCTCTGCTTTCTCAAGACTTCACTCGGTTGCTAACAATACTGTAGTACACTTTCTTTTTATTACTCTACCTTTTATTTAAATATAATTTATTTTGAAGATTTTGTTAAACAAATCCAGGAAAAATGATGCAAAAGTGGTTGGTTTGCCAAAGGAGAGGCGGCAGAAGGCCCGTGCTGCCCTGTTAAATTGCATCAGCGCTCTAGTTTGTCAAGATACTCAAGAGTCTGTTGCATTGGGACGTGTCCTCAATCCTCTATGTACTCCCACAGGTCCTTCTCATAGCCTTCATGCACGTGCTGTAGCAGCACTCTTCGCCGGCTCTCACAGTATCTGCAGAGGAACAACACACTTGTTAGCGTCTGAGAACATGCATAAACGTAACAGTGGACGGCAGGAGATGAGGATTTACTGACCTGTACTTATCTTGTACTTTCTGCTTGATATCCTGCAAGGAATCCTGGGAGATATCCCGCTCTAGGTAGCCAGACAGCACCTCAGTGGCATTTTCCAGGTCTGCCTGGTTGTTCTAATGAACCAAGACATTGATAAACATTATTATTCTGACCGACATAACAGCTATTCATGAGAATGTTGCCTACGCTTTAAAGCAGAGTTTGTCAGGATATTTGAGGCTATAAGCTGAAAGCCCAAAGAGCAGGGACCCCGGCCAACAACATAAGCGTAAAAGTTAATCAAATGTATTAAAAGCTATTAAATATCATTACAAATTAACAATATGTAGCCACTAGTTCAGCGTTACGGATAGGTAGCACACAACATTCAGTTAGTAACAGTAACGCTATCATTGATGTTGTCTAAATTAAATAGGTTGTTTCTTTTTATGAATAAGCCATTTATCTTTACTAATAATATGTTAGGTACATGTTACTCTAATGTAGGGCTGAACGATATATTGTGTCATGGCGATAACCACGATATGCGCATGCGCTATATTCACATCGCAGGGAAGTGCGATTTTATTTAATGTTTTTTTTTTTTTTTTTTAGGACGTGCGATATTAAGTTGGTAAATTAACTAAAACACGTCATGTTACAATTATGTTACTACAAATTGCTACAAAAGGAAAACTTGAGCGGCTCTCATGTCAGGGGTACTTGAGTGAGTGACATGCAGGCTCTGCATGCACAGCAAACCACCAATCACAATCATTCTTGATCAGATCACAGCAGGCCCCGCCCCGCTAGTTTGCAGACCATCAANTATTTTTTTATTTTTTTTAGGACGTGCGATATTAAGTTGGTAAATTAACTAAAACACGTCATGTTACAATTATGTTGCTGCTTGCTACAAAAGGAAAACTTGAGCGGCTCTCATGTCAGGGGTACTTGAGTGAGTGACATGCAGGCTCTGCATGCACAGNAATGTGATAATGAAGCTTCCTATAGTTTAATGTAATACGTTTAATCTCTTGGATCCCTTCTAGACACCACTCTTCTTCATTCACAGATGAACCCCCTTATTTGAGGGTAAGCAACATGCATTATCATGACTTAAGGTATGATGAGTCAACCAGTTAAGATCCAGACGTCCGTGACTAAAATCCTTCATCCGGTTAAATATAGAAAAAACCGGAATATATATCGCAGGGGAAAAAAATATATATCGCAATGTCAGTTTTTTTCAATATCGTGCAGCCTTACTATCAACCATTGCTGTTAACACTCACATGCTTTAGTAGTTGCTAAAAAAGGGGTTGCAGGTAAACGTATTATCTTGTCGTTTTCTACTTTAATCAAAGTGTATTTTTTAACTAAAAAATAAGGACATTTGAACGCTGCTGCCATGTTGATAACAGATTCACAAAACAAAAAGTTCTAATTTTAAAAGCTGAACGGTGCACTAAAATATGTTTCTGAAATCTTTGCTTTGAGAAATAAGCATTGCTGTAACAGAATCATGATTCATATTTCAGTGTACCACATTTCTGATCAGGCACTGACTCCAATTTCATAAGAAGTGAGCGGGGGAGGTGGGAGGGGGACATCATTTTTTCCACAGACATTATCTGTCTAATGCATTACTGTCAATATATAGTGACAGTTTGAGCAGAAAACTGATGGTTGAATAACTTATTTTAAAGAGATCAGTAAACATAGCTTGCCTTTCAAATTTCCAAAAGCTTAATAGTTAACACACTTTATCTTGGTTTCTGTAGATAAACGATAACGTAAAAAACCACCAGATGCTGTTTTACAAGGATTTACATGTTTGAACCGTTTCTTGGTGACTTCCTGGAGTCTCAGCTTGGTGGATACTAACATCAAAGGGATGACAAGACTCCAGGAAGTCACTTGAAAGCAAGTACGCTTAATAAGCAACATGTCAAACTGTTATTTTAGAGCTGCACAAAGTGATGTGTGGGTCTTTTGAAGGCAGAAGAACTCCTCCA